GCGCTTCTTCCTGGTGTGCATGTGCTTCCTGACCTTCATCCAGTCCCTCATGGTCTCCGGCTACCTGAGCAGCGTCATCACCACCATCGAGCGGAGATACAGCCTCAAGAGCTCGGAGTCGGGGCTGCTGGTCAGCTGCTTTGACATTGGGAGCCTGGTGGTGGTGGTCTTCATCAGCTACTTTGGGGGGCGTGGACGGAGGCCGCTCTGGCTGGCTGTAGGGGGCTTTTTCATTGCCCTTGGGGCTGCACTCTTCTCCTTACCTCATTTCATCTCTCCACCGTACCAGATCCAGGAATTGAACTCCTCTGTCAGTAACGAGGGCTTGTGTGTGACTGGCAATGGCACTGCCAAAGAGCAGTGGGACTCGCCGGCCTGCATCAAGGACTCCGGCGGAAACGACCACTCTGTCTATGTAGCTTTATTCATTTGTGCCCAAATCCTCATTGGCATGGGCTCCACACCCATCTATACCTTGGGACCAACCTACTTAGATGACAATGTCAAGAAAGAAAACGCCTCGCTTTACTTAGGTAAGGCATCTAAGAACCAGGGTGCTTTGAAGGCTGAGCCCCCGATCTCTCTGAGGGACCAGTTACAGGTACTGCTGCCCTGTGCCTTCTGAACAACATCCCTGCTAAGCGTCCCTTCCAAAGTGAACTTCTGAAGTAAAATTGCCATGCTTTCCTGTTTTTAAAATGTTTTGTGGAGTGGTGAACCACAGTGACAGGTGGAGCTAACATGGTGGGTGCAGAGGCTGCTGCGCTCTCACCCTCCTGCACGGAAAACAGGACGCTGGAGAAGGTCGGCTTCCCTGACACTTCTCAGCACTTGGCATTAGCAGGTGATGTGTTCAGAAAGCAATGTTAAAGTTTGTCATGCCCCTTCAGGTTTCTTTTTGCTAATACAGAAGCTGTATATTCCTAAATTTTGGTTAGCATGCCTCTAGCCTGGAGTCTCTATGTATGATGTTAATGTTTTATAAGCACTTTGAGAGATTTTGGCATGCTTTGTTTTACTTTTCCAGCATTCGTTTATCTTTAGCTAGCAGTGAATTTCAGCTGGCATTGATAAATCATCTGGCAACTCAGAAAGAACTAAAAAAAGTTGATAAAACAGCAAGTAAAACCTTTAGGGTTAAAAGTTCAGTTACGAGAGCTCAAGGGACAGAACAAAATGAGAGTCCGATCCGGCACCTGGCATTTGACAGGTACAGACAGGTCTTCCTGATAGTTGTGTTCTTACCACAGGAGAAAGGGGTTTCTCAGCCAACTGGATACTAAACTTTTTTGGAGTTCCAACATGATAATGAATACTACATTTTTGATAGCTTGTGTAACGTGTAAGAAGATTGACTGTTCTCTGATTTGCATTAGTATCTTGCAGGATTCTGTAAGAAACGAACCTCACATACTCCTTCAAATTCTTTTCAATTAAGGAGAGGCACTTAGGGGGCTGAGAGAGCTGCCAAGGGCTTTTGGATGCTCAGCATTACTGTCTCCAGTTCAATTTACTTCGGTTTTACGATAACCGTGGAGATAATCATTCCATGTAAAACAGACATGCATGAAAGTAATACACTCAGGAGTGTGTGTGTAATTACTTTATTAAGAAAAAGTAGTGATCCAGATGAGTATTTTTATTCCTTTTGACCTGTTGTTCAGTAATTTGTCTGTTCCCTGAGCCGTTTTAAAGCCATGTATGGTCTATATGCGGTGTCTTGAGGGAGCCTGAGGCACTTTTGGTTTTCACAAGGAGAGAGAAGTATTAATTTGTGTTTTTTCTGCTGTTTTTACAGCATTGCTAATCTGCCCAGTGAAATACTTGACAAAGAGGTTTTCCTCTCTTCCCTCTGAGAAGGGTTAAGTGGTATGGAAATATAGATTAACCTAGAGTCAACTTTATTGGCAGTATGAAAAAGAAAAGCATTTCATTGCTGAGGTTAGTAATTGTAGTTTGGAGCAGCAGAGATGAGGCTGAAACTTTTACAAATAGATGATTTCGTACCATCCTCAAACATATGAGGGAAAAGAAAATGGAAAGGCTGTAGGTGAGGAATGAAGGTTAAATGTGATGAATGGTGGAGAGGAGGAGGAAGTCTTTACCAAAGTGGACAGCAAGGTCAGTGGTCGGAAATCCTCACTGTGCAGAAGAAACGATACTGGCTGCTGAAGGGCTTCCAGCACAAGAAATTGTAATAAGGTGACTGAGGTAACTTTTAATTGCGACAAAGATCAGCCTTAAAGTTAACAAAGGTGAAAGACACCAGCAGCTGTTGGAAGACTATATGTGACCCTGTACCCGCCAGGCACTGAAGGCAGCTTTGATCTATACTGAGAGTCCCCTTGTGGAGTTGAAGTTTGTATGTCATGATTCAGAAAAATAAAGATGAGGTACAGTATACATGAAAAATTGATGCCTAATTGTAACCACAGGGAGAAGAATTAAACACAAAGCATGTTTAAACATTGAGTAAAATGTACCATCACATCCGTTCAGCCTTTAAGCTACTCAGGGCTAGAAGCGATGTTGCTTCCCATTGGAAAGCCTCTTAAAATAGTGTGAAATTCTAAGTAAACTTTTAGCTTGTTCAGATTTGAATATTTGCTTCACTTTAGACTCAGGCCAATGACTGAGGGGCAGCAGTAAAGTCTGAGTTCTGAAAGAAAAAAAAAGAAGCATTGTTTGGCATGTTGATGTGAGCAAACATGTTTTTTTGGAGCTTCTCAGTGGTTTGGAATGTTTCCTGTCCTCAAGGAGAAGGATCTGTGGGTGGCTGGCAGCCCAGCTGGGCACAGGGTTAGGGCATGGCTCTGCAGGCCAGCTACCATGGTATGATTTTGTTACTGGGGCAAGCTATGCAAATGATGTCAAAATATACAATGTATGTATGCAAGTAGGTGTGAGCTAACAAGAAGTCTTGGAGTGGGCTATGGGAGCTGAAGTTTTGAAAAGAGAAGAAAGCCTGTCGGAACAGATCCCAGTCACACTGATACACGTGCCTGAGTGAGGACAGTTCATTAAAAAAGTAACCTCTAATACAAAGTGGAAGGTCACTAACGTGTGTTTGTGATCATGCTGGCATTGCATTCTATGGCTTTCTTATTGCAAAGAAAAGTAGCATATATAAATATGTGTTCAGATGAGAAACATTTGTTTACAAGCATGCACATGATGAAAGTTCCACCGAGCTGCAGAACTGAAGAGCTCTTCAATCCCGCCAGTGTACCCACTAATAGTAGGTCAGTAAAGCCCCCCTGAGTATCACTAATCCTGATTCTACAAAAACTCACCTTATGTGGCTGTGGAAGCTATCTTATTTATTTTCCAAGTTAATCCAGCTCAGGGCTCGAGTGGCAATAGCATATCCTCTTAAGTGTAGGCATGCAAGCTCCATGTGGACAGCTGTTTTAACATTCCTGGCTGGAAGTCCTGCTCTCAAAAAACATATTTGATGCTTATACATAGTCTCTTGGCTGCCTACACTTAAGTCCATCTGTCAGGGTGGCACGGGGCCAGTTTACAAGGTGGTATGTCATTTTTAGCAGGACAAAGGTGCCAAGCAGAGATGTGTATTTGGGCTGCCTGCATAGCAATGTGCAAGCTCACTCTTCTGTGGGATGTTTCTTCCTTGTGAAGGCAGTGCCACCTCCAGGTCCTCCTGCCCCTTAAACCTGGCGGTACTTTGATGCTAACTTTGAGAAAATGTATGACATCGGGCTTGGAAACAAGTGGTGATTGTAACAGGTGCCTAGGAAATACAAGAACTGGCACCCTTAATCACAGATAATCCAAAATGGAAGTTACACACTTTCTCTAAAAATTGGGCAATCACTAAGTTGTCCTTGTCCTGCCCTAAGGTCTCTCCCTTCTGTGCTCAGCTGTACCGTAGCGTATCTGTTGTCAGATGCCTGACGTGTGCAACATCTCCTTTTAATTAATTAAATTAAATTAATTGCAATTTAATTTTGAGTTGAATTGGACTTCACAAGTCTTGATGTTTCTGCTACTTGTCAAATTCTAGCACTTAAAACACAGCATGTTTTTCCTGAAAACTGGGGGTTTTTTTGTAGGGAGCCAGTAGTTTTCAAGTTTGCCTTGAATGTGAGTTTCCCTTGTGATTGTATCATGAATTTTAAACGCAGTTCCTTAAAATTAGCTGTGGCACTTGGAGTTTTATTAGTGGTATTATAGTGCCAGCATAATTTTTAGCTATTTTTCTTCTTTTGCAAGTGGGTATTCTATAAAAGGCATTTACTTTGAAAATTCATGCATAGAAAGGCAGTATTAGGTTTTGCAGAAATATTTTAGCATTCAGGAGTGGCTTTCACCAGTACCCCCAAAAATGACTAGTGGATAAATTAGTCATTGTGCTAAGAATGTTTTATTTCGGTTTCCAGAACATTGTAAGTTAGGATATGATAGGAGAAAAGTGTCGAAGTCAGTTTAATTTCATGCAGATTCTCTGTAGTTTTGGGAACAAACTGTAATTACAAAATGCAAAGATAAAGCTTTTATGAGATCAGAGCTGGAAAATTGCATAAACCTGTGTAAGTGGGCTTGCTACAGATAATGGCTTGAGAGCGAGGGAGGCAAAATCCTTTCCTAACCTGGAAAAAGAATAAATATTTAGACTAGCTCCAAAAATATTTTTGACTCTGTTTTCATGAGGATCATTTGTGGGTTGCTGTTTATAGCATTAGGTAAACCGTTTCACTGTGACTATATTCTGCTTGGAAATCACCTTCTTACCAGTGTTTTTCAGCTGGGTGCTCTGTGTACCCCTCGCATCTTTTACAGGCTTACACATAGCCTGTATATATGTTTATATGTTGATTGTATTTATTGAATTTCTAGTTAAATCTACCCCTATATCCGTGTCCCACCTAGAAGGAGAGGGCAGGAGGAGTAGCTTCACCTACTCCCTAAGAAACCCATGATCTCTGCCTGCTGTGTCCCGGAGGAGAGTCCAGCTGTCAAAGAGCTGGTCCATAACTTGCCATTGTCTGCATATTGGCACAGGAAGCACTGGATATTTGTTTCACTTTGATTCATTTTGGTCTGGCCACTTCTGGGGTTACAAATGCCACTGGAGGACAGGAGCTGGAACCTGCTGAGGGCATCAGGTCCTCTGTATGGATACTGCAATATCACTGAGGATTTCCAAGGCAGGATCAACTTTCTGACTGAGCAGAAGGGACTGCCTGGAAGCAGTGAAATGGCTGACCAGCATTTCATTTTATTCTCACTATTCAGCCTATGACCACTTGTGTTTTACATTGAATGTGCTTTCTGCTACTTGATACCCAAAAAGGCTAGTTTCCTACAGGGAATCAGCATTGATCTTTATAATTGGTAAACCATACAGACAGAGTGCATTTATTTTTACAGCATGCCTGTGAGGAGGCAGGAATTTATGAATCAAAAATTGAAGCAAAAGGGTGTGTTTTATTGTTTGCTGTGTTTCCATTGTAAAAGAGCTTACTCCTCAAATACAGGATCTTAGGTTATTTGAGTGAAAACCACATCTTGG